ATATAAAATATAAAAAACAGTCTTTATTTTTAAGGTTGATTTAAACTTAAATTCACTTTTTTAAAGTCAATCTTAACTACTATTAAGTTTATTGAGTTTTCCCATATCAAATTTTTTGTATATATTCAATTTTATAATTTATACTTGAGATATATAATTCTCGATAAAAGAAAATGTGAGATCTCATGTTGATAAGTGAGATGGCCAAAATTAGGTTCGAATCCACTTTTATAAAAATAAATATTGAATTAATAAATAAATAATTGATTTTGAATTGTAAAAATGTAATGATGTAAATATCTTTTTAGTCTTTTAAATTTATGAAAAATTTATTTTGTCTTTCAAATTTAAAGTTATTTTTTCAGTTGTAATTTTTAAAAAATTTATTTTATCTTATCAAGTTACTAATAACATATGAAAATAACAGATTGAAATAGTTATTTAATATCAATTGAGTTTAATATGATATTTTCACTAATAGAGTAAGTAAATTTTATGTGACAATATTTAATAAATTATTTAACAAAATTTGAATATAAAAATTAAAATAAATGTTTTTTTTTTAAATTATAAGACCTAAAAAGATCAATTTTAAATTTGAGAGACTAAAAATAAATTTATCTTAAATTTGAAAAACTAAAAATATATTTAAGTTAAATGTAATTCAATGTGACTTTGGGTCTCTTGCAACAAACAGGTGCTACCGGTGAAAATTCTAACCTAAATCTTCGAAGAAGTCATGGGGTTCTGAACATTATGGGATGGAGCATTCTAATGATAATAGGATCCATGATTGCTCGCTACTCCAAGCAATGGGATCCCATGTGGTTCTATTTCCATGCTTCCATTCAAACATTTGGCTTTGTGGCTGGCATAATTGGAATTTTATGTGGATTGCTCTTATCTAAGAAACTCGATTCTAAAGTCACTCATCACAGAAATATAGCGATCGTCATCATTCTCCTTGGATTCCTCCAGGTTAATTAATTTTTATCTAATTTACATTGATTCATAGTTGAACACTCACTATATTATTTTGGCCCTTATAGCTTCTAATTTGTGTGTCAATTTTTGTGAAAAGAATAATGATTTTAATTTTCACTCATGTTTGTGATTCGATTTGATAGGTATTAGCCATTGTATTACGACCAGGGAAGGAATCGAAGATACGAAAGTATTGGAATTGGTATCACCATAACGTGGGGAGGATTTTGATTATCTTTGGAGTGCTTAACACCTTTTATGGACTCCATTTAGGAGGAGAAGGATCTAAGTCGTTTATTACTTATGGAGTCACTATTGCCGTTTTATTCATTATCACTGTCGTTTTGGAGATAAGAATGTGGATTATTGCAAGAAAAGAGACTCGGTCCAAAGATACATCATCATTCACCAATCCCTGGAGTTAGCTTATTAATATTTAACATATTTGGCTTCAATCCAACATCATTTGTAATTTTTGATGTAATATGTTGCAGTAGTAGTATTAGCCGTATTGAATCCAGTATAAACTTGTAGAAAAAAAATATTAAAAAAATTACATCATGTAATATTTTTTTTCATAATTTTTAATCAACTTATGCATAAGTTAATTTGTAAAAAAAAATGATTTAGTTTTTCTAGATACTTATTTTTAGTTTATATGTAGGTTATTTTTATCTTATAAAAAAGTTAATTCCATTTTTTCGGTCTATTTTCTTCTCTTATAATATATGTACTTATAGAGAAAGTTATCAAAAACATTCTATTTGTAACATTTATCATATGCACCTAATACAGGTTTTCGCTGCCTCATCTCAATGCAACTAACATAATTGGAATTGTGATGAGACATGAAACTGAAAAATTTTCAAATAAGTTTCGGAAAAAAGAGCAGTTAACATTTTTTATTAAAAAAAACTCATTTAAGAAAAGGGCTTTTTGAAGCCAAATTATGAAGTCAATAGTCAATTATTTGTATGAAAGTATAACGCCCTAGTGATGCCTATTAAAATTTGCTACATCTAATTAATTAAATAAATTATGAAGGGTGGAGGACTAATTACAACAAAAACATCTATTGAGAAATTTCTTTATTCAACAATGAATATTTATTTTATTTTGTAATAATTAAATTTAATGAAAGAAAAATAATTTTAAGCTCGAGAAATATGAATCTTCTTATTTGCATTGTGTGTGGTTAATGGACTGTGTATTAGATCTCATGCTTCACAGTTGTGTAGGAGTTAAAGTAGGATCAAAAGATTATGAATTCTTTCAATGTTGGGTTTACAGACTTGCAATAAGGTTCACTGGTTTTGGGTCAATGTGTTGGTTTTGTTTTTAAATGAGGTTAAAGTCCTCTATATAAGGTCCAGAATAGACTCAATCATGTAGAATCAAATCTCATTCACACATGTACATCGTTGAAGGTTGAAATTCTATGTCCATTCACACATGCAAGAAAGTACATATTACTCCCTTGTTTGGTGTATAGAAATAGGGTAGAAATAGAAGGAGAAAGTAGAAATGAGAAAGTGAAAATAAGATTAATTGTTTAGTATAAAGGTGGGTCTCACTAAGTATAAATGATGAAGAAATGACTCTCTCTGTCATATTTTAAAACACTTTCTATTTAACCGTCAGAAATCGTATACTTAATTTTTTTTTTAATTATTTGTGACAGTAAGAAGTTGCCACAATGATTTTTAATTTTTTGTTATCAAATATTGGATGTTTATAAACGGCCACAAAATCCTAAAATTAAAAAAAAGTTAGTATAATTGATTAAAATTTAAAACTTACGTATGATTAAAAATAAAATTATTTTAAAAAAATTTATTTACTTTTTTTAATATATATTTCTCTCCTTTATTTTTCTCATAATATTCTTAAACTAAATAATTAAAATTCTGTTTTATTTCTTACTTATTTCTACTTATCTATTTGTTTGTTTTTTTTTTATATTTTTCTCAATTCTATTTTTTTTTCTCTTTATCAAACACACATTTAGAAAGCATTTGGTAAGAGAAATTTTTTTTTCATACCGAATAATCATGATTTCTGAGAATTATAAATCCTATGTAATTTTTGTAAATAATTAAAATATATTTAATTCCTCATAAAATTATATATTAAGATTTTCTAACGTTAAGAAGAAAAAGTGCAGTGGCACAATCCAAATGCAAAATAAGAAACAGAAATCTGCATTATAAAATATTTCTTATTATATATATATATATATATATATATATTTATTTATTTATTTAAATATTTATATACATTATTACTAACATGTATTTATATAAAATAAAACTATTAGAAATAAGTTAAACATTATGATAATAATAAAATTTAAAAGATAATCTTAACACTCTTAAAAACACTATGTAAGACACGGTTTAATGATGGGTGATACGTCACTTTGATGATTCATATTCATTATATAATGAAGTATTTCGTATGTTTAATTATATTTTATTTAATAAAAATATTTAAAAATTATTAATATTTGATAGATTAATTAATATTATATCTGATATTTAGATTTATATTTATGAATAGAAAAAATCTGTTATGAATTAAAAATTATATAATTAAATAAATAATCACTTAATAATTAAGAAAAAACAGATAGTCACTGATTGTAGATATTTAGACTTTAAAATTACTTAAAATATTTTTAATTGTATATAAAATTTTGTCTAATTTATTTTTACTATATTATAATTATTTATTTTAATTACAAATATATGATACATAAAAAAACTAATAATAAAAATAATAGAGATTATAATAACGTTAAAATTTTATATTTAGATATAAAAGGAAACATATAAGAGATAATTTTATTTTAAAAAATAATATAAACTTACCTCGCAATCATATATTATTTTTAAAAAAAAAATCTGGATCCCTTTTTAGTTATAAATTTGGGACGATTGAACCTCTAGAACGATCTCAAGATTGGCCCTAGTCAATATTGTATTGAAGAGATAATTATATTTTAAATTTTTTTTTTATAGATAGATTTCAAATTTAAATCGAAGAGAAAATGAAATAAAACTAAATAAAATAAATAAATTTTTATTTTTAAATATCAAATATTGATTATTTTCTTTTTCCTTTCACATTTCTTCATCTGAATAAAAATATTATTTTCAATATTTTTTCTTTATAATTTCCTTCTCACCCAAACATATAAATTTATGAAAGATTTGTGAAGAAAATATCTGTGCAATATTATTTTATACATACATTTACTTATATTCAATTTTTCGTTTAATTCTAGTGAAGTAAAGCAAAGAGATGGCATTGGCAACCAACATTTAATCAGTCAATCAGACAAACTAGGAGAAGTCATTAATTAGGGGGAAAAGGATGTTTGAAGATTTTTCTTTTTGTCCCTGGTGTATCCAGAATTGATAGTAGTGACTAATCTTCACATTGGAGGCACCTCAAAGAGTGGGATAGCTAGCTCCAAGATTTAACGTGACTGCATACATAAGGCAAGATTCAAACTTCTGACCTTGCTTAAGCGTAGATCAACCCCTACTGCTGAACCACACGCTTGGAGTTATGTTAAAATGTTAGTAAAATGGAATGTGTTTATATGATTAATGTATATGATGTGTTTACGCATGTTCAGGAATATTAAATATCCACTATTAAAGTATATTTTTTATCTAATTAATTATGAGATCTTGAAAAAAAAATATAATTATTTCTCTCATATATTTATTTAACATCTCTCTTTTAAATAATTGTACTTTATAATTTTATTTATTTACATTTTTTAATAATAGTAAAAATGATTATTTTTATAATTATTTATTGTTTATTTTTTTATTGAAGTGTGACACTGATTATTAGTTTTCTTTTAATTTAATTACTTATTTATATTTTACAATTTTTATATAATATGTTTATGATATTTTAATATTAAAATTTATTTTAATTTTAATAAAAAATATTTGATTTGATTAACCGATACAATTATAGATAATATTCAATTCATTAAAGGTAATACGGGTACGTGGGTAATACTCAATCATATACTAAATATAAAATGAAAGGTTTATAATTAAAGAAGACGCAAGTTAAATGAATATGAAAGAGATATTGCAGTTTTTCAAAACATCCTAGTTAATTAAATGAGAAAAGTATTTTGATAATGATATTTAATCTTCCTTAACATATGTAAAGTTGCTTAGAATAGACAACCCCAAACTATATATACATGTATTTAATTACAATTCATTTATCTATATTTTTCAGTTATTAAGTTAATTTATCTTCCCCTAAAATTTTTTTTAATTTATCTAATTATTTTTAGTTCATGTAGACTTCCAAATACTGTTATTGTTTAGTGTAACAACTCTACTCTTTTATTTAATAAGAACAATTGCACATAGTACTTTCTTTTGTTCGTCCTGAAGTATTTACCGTTGATAACAGTAATTAATCTCCTTGCTACATTGGAGGTACCTCAAAGGGTGGGATAGGTGACCCCAAGATTTAACGCGGCTACATACACAAGGCAAGATTCGAATTCTTGACCTTACTTAAGTGTGGATCAACCCCTATCGCTGAACCATACGCTTGAAATTTTGCACATAGTACTTTAAAAAGAAATTTTTTTAAAAAAATTAAAAAAAACAGATAAAAGTGTTTCTTGATAAAAAAAATAGAAAACTGCTTTTTTTTTTAAATTAAGAAGTTAAGAAAAAGATATGTTTATTTTATTTAAAAAACAATTTTATAAAAAAATATTTAAACTAACGGATTTTATTATTTTATATAAAAATTTAGTCTCTCTCTTTTTTTTTTCATTTTAGTTTTAGCAGTGCAAATGTATAGAATTCCGCAACCGCCAACCAACGGAGTGTGACTGATAGATCATGGGCCAAGGGCCCAGTGACCAGAGCTATGATCAATCGAATGCCAATGCTGAAGTGGTTGAATGCTTGTGCTTGATCAACCGAATGTCAATGTTTGATGGAGTGATCGAATGCTTGTGCTGGATCCATCGAATGCTTATGTTGAAGTAGTTGAATGCTTGTGCTTGATTAACCGAATATTTGTGCTTGATGGAATGGTCGAATGTTTGTGCTGTATCGACCGGTTGTTGGTGGCAATTCAATCAAATGCTGGTGCTGGATTGATTGAATGTTGATGAACTGAATGCTAATGCTGGAGTGGTCGAATGCTTGTGTTGTATCGACCAATTGTTGGTGCCAATTCAATCAAATGCTGGTGCTGGATTGATTGAATGTTGATGAACTGAATGCTAATGCTGGAGTGGTCGAATGCTTGTGTTGTATCGACATATTGTTGGTGCCAATTCAATCAAATGTTGGTGCTGGATTGATTGAATGTTGATATTGGATTGACCAAATGCTTATGCTGGATTAGTCGATGGGTCGCGCCAGGTAAATACTGGGCTTATACAAAAGAAATTGTAACTTGTGCCACGTAAGTACTGGACTTATACAAAAGAAAAATGTAACTTGTGCCAGGTAGATATTGGGCTTATACAAAAGAAAAATATAACT